CCACAGCTTAGCTCAGCCTGCTGTGTCAAGTATCATAGACTGCAGCCAAGTTGTTTGTAGTCGGTGTCCTCATGTGGGGCTTGGGGTCCTTGATGGCAGAGCTGGATTCTTTGTGGCTGGAGGTCTGAAGTCCTGTGCTCTTAGAGGCCTCTTCCCCCACTGGCACCCTAGCCACTTGCTTTTTTCTGGCCCTTTTTGAACGTCTGTGTAGAGTAGCCTAGTTCTTCTTTGCAGGGCTTTTACCTCAGCAGGTCCCCAGGATTAATGAGAAAACGTCTGACTCAGAACCTTAATTATCTGTGTGCAGTTCTTTCACCTTGTCATAGGACCAGCGGCATGTAGTTACAACAGAGTGTCTTCCACACTTGGGGAAAGGGAGTTACTCTGGGTGGGTGTGTGTATCCCAGGGGGCTAGACTGTTGGCACTCTCTAGCCTTTTACTGTTTGGTCTGCCATAGTTGCTTTGAACAGAAGTGGATGCTACATTTACTTGCACAACAAGGCTCATTCGTTTACATTTTTAATCCCAGCTATTGGTAAAGCTGAGGAAGGAAGATCAAGAGTTTGAGGATAGCCTGAGCAACATAGGGCCACTTCAAAAAAGAAAAAAAACCAATTACTTGTTAGGGTAACCTTACAGGTTAGGGTTACAGAAAAGAAAAACAAACAAACAAACACTTACTTGTACAGGATAGGGTTAGAGAAAGTCTTTAGAAGTCTAGAAGAGAAAGAAAAAAAAAAGTCTAGAAGAGGGCCTCGGGAGATAGCTCAGTAGAATAAGTGCTTGTCTGGCAAGCGCAGTGTCCTGAGTTCAATCCCTGGTACCGCAAAAAAAAAAAAAAAAAGTCTAGAAGATATCTGCAACTGAGATTAGGCATAAAATGCCCTTCAGTTCTTGCTTCATTAACAATATTAAACACTTTTCTTACTAGTACATGTTTGTAGTACGTCATGATTACATTCATTGCCTGTGCTGTTTTAAAGAACTGGATATTGGTTGCCTCACCGGAGAGTGCTGCCAGAGTGATGATGGGGATGGAGCTAGTAGGCTTGTTAACTGAGAAAAGGCCCTAGCTTTCCCTAAGGGGTGTGCACACACACGTCTTTCTTCACTTAAGATTTTGTGTTACAGAAGATGGCTTTACTTGCACCTGAAGTTTTCGGAATGCATTTCTTTTCTCTCTCTCTCTTTTTTTTTTTTTTTTGAGACAAGAGTCTCACTGTGTAGCCCATGCTGGCCTTGAACTTGTAGGACTCCTGCCTCAGCCTTGAGTGCTGGGATTACAGGTGTGTGCCACCACACCCAGCTCCCTGGGTATTCTGACACCCCTTTTTCTGCTCTGCTGATTGTTAGCTCTGGGAAGCCTTTTCTCATTCACATGCGCTGACAAGCCAGGGCGGTTTTGTTTTTTCTTTGAGGTTATGAACTCATGCAGTGTAATTTAGTTTTGTCCATCACATTGTTTTTACAGATTTTTGGTGCTCATGCTGTTTTAAATTTGGCCAGGATGTGCAAAAGGGAAGGGGACCAAGAGAAGAAGGGAGGGGAGAGAGCGGGTGCAGAAGGGGTCATAGAAAGGATTATGCCATGTTGTACAGGAGCACAGACTCTGTGAGGGATGGGCTCATGTGCTGCAGATGTGCCGATAGAAACTAAACTGTAAGTTTGGCCAGGAGTCCCACGAGCCATTTTTTTTTTTTTTTTTTTTTTTTAAATAAAGAAAATAAGATCTTTTAGGCTCACCTTGTCTGCTGTGCTCTTGAATTAGCCTTTTTTCCCAGGAGCGGTTCCTGTTAGTGGGAAATGGTGCTTAGAGACCAGCGTCTAGGTGCTGAGTGTGCTCACTGCTGCTGGAGTGCAGTTAATTCTAGATCCTTTGCAAAGACAGAATAAGCAAGCGTATTACAAAATAAAATTCATAGGATTTCCAGTCTAAATTGTTTTTAAAAATCTCTTTGGTTTTTGTCTTTTACACTTAGAATCTTGGCTTATTATACCATTAAGATCTATCATACTTATATATTAATATT